GCTCCAGGCCACACACGCCAAGGCCGCTTGCCAGCATCTCCTCCTCCGTATGGGGCATCCCATCGCTGGTCGTTGCCGTCTTGTGCTCGGTTCCATTTGTGGCCTCTCCCCATGAGACGCCCAAGAGCAGCTTTGTAGTCCGGGTTGGAGGCGTGGAGCCGGATCAAGGCAAGCAGCAGCGCTGGGTCTACGCCCGGAGCGCAAAGCGGCTCTAGCAGATGATCGCCTTTTGCGCGATCTTCTATGCCAGGTCGGCGACCGAGGGTGAGGCACTATGGCTCGCTCACCTAAAAACGCACGCACGATGGTGCTTGGGGCTACCAGCAATCTGACGCTGTCGTCAGTCTTCTGAGCCCTTAAATCTATATATATATATATATATAAGTACTGGTAAATCTGCATCTGCCAGGCTCTGTCTGCCTTCCCTAGCGCTACGATGCAGGACTAGGCTGGCAGCAAGCTTCACGGGCTTTGCCGTGGTAGACATCCGCCTGCACCACGATGTATCTTACCAAATGCGCTGCTGTGGACTTTGGGAGGCCCAATGTCACCGCGGCAAGCCAGACTCTGGCTTGCCTCGGTGACATTGGTTTTTGTGAGCGCTCTCCCTCAACAGCTGAATTGTGCCGTCCCCCAGACGCGAACCGCCGTCAGAAAACAAGAACAGGAACCTGAGCAACGCTGCAGCAGCCGGTAGCCTGCAGCCGTCATGGGACAGGAAATTCCACTCCAGAAGGGAAGTTTATAAAGCCTCAACGGCTCTGGGATTGTGATTGTGGACTGATTCTCCGGATTCCAGACGATGCCGCATGCTTATCATTGCTTCGCGCTTGGACGCGACAAACTCAGCAGAGCCTAACAGCCTAACATGCAAACCCACCCTCGTGAATATCGCTTGTGCGGAGCCTCACCCCCGCTTGTGCCACTTCACGCACCTGCCGGCTTCATGCACCGGGATGGCCAAGGCACGGCGACTCTGGGTTTTCTATTCAGTCTGCACGTGAGTGCCCATGCAGGCTTGGATGCTTCGGTCTTCGAACGAGGATGGGCAAGAATCAAGCAGGGTGCAAAACTGAGGCCAGAACCGTCTCAACACAAGCATCCGTGGCAGCCACGTGGTCTGCGGGACCACCTTCTGACGTGCTTGCTCGGCTGCAGCACGCATACCATTCCGTTGCATGGCACTGAACAACGGCTAGGTCGCGTTTGCAGGGCCTTGTCCTGAAAGTGTTTTGAGGATTGCTGTGCCAGCTGCTGCCGCCGTGTTGGTGCTGCTCCTGGCAGCGGCAACGCGCAGAACCTGGGCATGCTTTGGAACGCAGCTTCAGCTAATGATGCAGCCTGCGGACCAGACAAGTGCACCGGACGTGCCCGTACAGCCGCGTGCACGGATTCATCACGTTTCGATCTCTAAGCTTTCTGCGTCACGCTGCTGCTGCAGGCTGCCGGCTGCAAGCCTCGTTTCAGTCTTGACTTCGGTTTGCCCAGAAGTGGAGGATGCAATTCACCCGGGCCTTTTTAAGTAGCCTGTGTCTGCATGTTCTCGTTGCCCTTGCTCGTGAAGGCCGGGGGTGTGCATCTACAGTAGGATCACTGCCAACCTAGAAACCACCCGCCCGGCACGAAGGATGCCTGAACATATAGTTCTGTTCAGTTTAGGCAACGGTGGAAAAGACCTGCCCTTTCCATCAAACACACCTGAGCTTCAACGCAAAGCCGCAAAGCAGCAGAAGACTGACAGAGAGTGCACGGAGGCCAAGCGCAAAGCTCCAACTTCAATGCGCATCAAGCGACAGGCACCGGGCCATTGCTTTAGGGCCTATGACCAGTGGCTTATTCTGATGACCAATACTACTATACATAATAGGTAATAACACAATACACTATAAGAGACAATATGATGTACCATAGCTCTAAGAGACTATAGCATACCGAACACACAGACTATGAACACTGTCGGTGCAAGATTTACCTGCTGCACACATCCAATCCGAGGTCCTGGCAACTCCACGCACGATGTAGCCCTTGGCGACTGACCGCTCATAGTCGAAAATGATTCAACATCTCTTATTCCAAGGCCTACTAGCATGACTACATGACTTAAGTGCTTGCGTTGTCTATCTCAATAGCACACTATCGCTAGCGTATTTTTCGCTGCTTTGGGAGAAAATGCTGGGTTTGAGAAACTAGTTATTTCGAGATCTGATCCGTCATTTATTGGTGGCTTGAATCAGCCATGTTATCAGCGGCGCTGGGCCAACGGGGGCCCTGTCCCTGGCAGAGTTTTGGATTGAAAATCCGCCCGGACACAGATGTTTGAAGCTTTTCCACAGCCCGTTAGCAGATTTCCGACAGATCCCTACCAGAGTTTCGGCAGACCCTCTGCAAACTTCCCCACAAACCCCCGACAGATTGAAATCCGGTCCCGGAGCTTCGCGGGAAGCCTGGCCAGGGCCGGGTTCCTGGCCCTGACAGCTGCCCGGGGCTTCCTATAGAGATTTCTACTAGGCTTTGCTAGAAGAAGCTATAGAACGTATGCAAACATCGACCACCCAGACCGCACTCAGGAACAGAGCCACATCATTCTGCAGCCCGGGGTCCTAGTCTTGGCCCGACAGATCTGAAACAACAATTACAGATATTGTTCACAGATTGCTCGCACTTTTTTTTGCAGTGCCCCAGCGGCAGGTGACAGATTTTTGGCACGTGTGGAAGACAGATTTGCAACAGATGTTTGACAGAAATGATTCCTGAGCCTGCTGCCAGAAGAAACCACAATCAGGGACATCACACGGGCCGTCATAAGAGCTGCTCGGCTTCTTGCCCGACATCATCGTACCCCGCACGGCAAGCAACCATCATGAGCATCAGCTGCCAAGTTCCTTGCCCGACATGGCCCGGCCCGCAAGCATCATCAGCATCAGCTGCCAGACTTTTGCCCGGTACCCCTGCAGAATCATGAGCATCATCCGCTTAATAGGGCATCCTTGTTCTGTGAAGCGATCTGGGTGGGGACACTGGCAAAAAGCCGCGCCGCGTCACGCTCGCTGGTAGGGTGCTGTTGGGCAAAACGAGCTTGTCAGCTGATGCACATCATGCTCGCTGGTTTGGCCGCGTCAGGCCAAGTTCCGGACAAGTGATGCTCATGATACTCGCTGGTTGTATGCAGTTGCGAAAAGCGGAGCACTGATGGGGTCGGATATCATCCACGTGCCCATTATCTGGATGCCCTGGTCGAGCACGCAGGCGACGAAAAACGTCGAAGCATCAGCTGCTCGTCATCAGTTCGGCTGGTTGTCCACCAAACCACTCGATCGCTGCCGTCCACCCAGAAAGCATCATGAGCATCAGCTGCCAAGCTTTCTGCCCGACAGCATGCAACCAGCCAGCATCACGAGCATCATCTGCCTGAGTTGCCGGGCACCCAACCAGCAGATGCGCATGGTTTGCCTTGCTTGCAACCCATGCTGACCCAGACACCCAGCATCACGAGCATCGTCCGTTAAAGTAGATGTTTTGTTGAGGAGCTGGGCCTCATGAGAATCATGTGCCCGTCTCCATACCGAGGACAACCTACACAGTAAGCATCGTTGACATCAGAAGCGAGGCTCCTTGCCCGAGACCACCCCTTCACTCCGTGCCCAAGTGTCAGCCACAGAACGCGGCAGCATCATGATCATCTGTCCGGCTCATTGCCGGGAGTCGGCTCTTTACGGGATGCCTTCCAGCTTGCCATCACGAGCCTCTGCCGCCTAGATGTGCGTACGAGGTTGCCGATCAAGCGAACATCAAGACGCGAGCTACACTACTATATACGTACCACTACCACACACTACCACTACCACTGACCACTGCCGCGATGACTGCAGCCAGGGCTAGTCCACATCTAAGCTCTCTCCTGGGACCTTTGCAGGAGCACATCGCGCCCAGCAGCTCCTGGGAGCGCCAAGAGCCTTCCAGGCCAGGGCTTCGGATTTCCCAAAAAAATATGAGGCTTATACTTGTATGCATCTTGGTCAAAATCGCTGCCTGATGCCTCCGTAGGTCATGTTTGCATGGGCTGCATATTTGCCCTACTTGGCCTGTAGCACATCATCGCTTCATATGCACAATGCATAAACCACTCTAGGTGCTCAAACATATGCATGTTGGTCATTCAAGGCATCCTCGCACTGACAAGACTCTTCGTGGCCATGCATCTTCACCGTCATCGTCGTCATCATCGGATTTCCAATGGGGTGCTTTTTGACATCCTCCCTCCCGCGCTGGGAGGACATGTCATCATCAAGACCGCCAGAACCACTGACTCATCTTTTCGGAAACATCGAGGAAGTGCCAGCTCAGCTAGACCGGCGCAAAGACCCCGTGCACTGGAGAAAGCAGCAATGCACAGCACGACGAGGCAGCAAGCAACAGCTCCAAATCACAAATGCCTTGATTGAAGTGCCACTGGTCTGACTGCCGGCTGCTGCAATAAGACTATACAAGAATTGAAAAGAAGTCCCCGAGCCTGGGAACGTCCATCAACGAGAAGCCAGCTTCCGCAAGTCCTCAGTAGGAACTAGGTCTAAGCACATCCCTACTATACCATTGTATGCCATGTTCTTCTATATCCTACTACATATATGATACCATATGTACTGTACAATGTTGTACCGTGTTACTATGGGGGCACGGCACAAGGTGTCGAGGGCCGAAGGTCTCAGGAAACTTGGACGTGGACCTACCGTGGGTCACTGTTTGTGGAGAGACTGAGGCTTGTTCCGCCCTGGGAAACAGCGCCCTTCAGCGCCTTTCCAGCAAGCACCCGGGCGGCCTGCAACATGCAACGAATTTTCAGGGTTTGGGCGGTTTCGCATCAAGCGTGCGTAGGTTTGGTAAACGACTGGCCGCTGTGCGCTGCACCAGGACAGTCTCATCAGGGTCATCACCTGCAAGCACCCTCAGCGGCAAGCAATCAAGAACCTGAGAATCGAGCGCACTGCTTGCCTCCCAGATCAAGCACCTGAGTTAGCAAAGGTTCAGGTACAGCTTGCAAGTCTCGCCTTGACCATGTAATGTTCACCCGTGCTAATTCGTGCTTCAGTTCGCCTTCTCGGCGGACTGCAGAAGTTCCGGTGCAGGGATGTCCACCACCTCCTGGCAAGACTCCACAGCTTTGCCTCCCTCAGAAAGGAAATCGACTTGGCAGATGTGCTATGCTAAAATGCTTCTTGGAGATCCTTGTAGGGCAACCCTGCAGAATCGTTTCTTCTACAAGTATCAAACGAGGGCTCATGCCAGCATCCCACGTAGAGTCGGGAAGGCAACACAAACTCTTTTACCCTATTTTCGGGATTGCGAACGGCTAAATTTGGAGTCAAATGTTGGAAGACATGTGTCCTCCTCGTTTTTGTTCACCTCGCGCCTCGGCGCAACTAAGTACATGCCCGAAGAGCACCGAAGAACTTGAGGCTGTCCAGTTTCGTCGAGAACTCGGCCGTTAAACCACATACAGTTGAGCCCTTTGAAACCGCCTCCCGAGAGAAATCCTTTCCATTCCTTTCCAGTTTCTTGAAGGCCGCTCTAGGAACATATATACAGTTGAGCCCTTTGAAACCGCCTCCCGAGAGAAATCCTTTCCAGTATCTTGAAGGCAGCTCTAGGACTCTAAGTGCTGGGCAACGCTGCCAACAGTCGGATCTGGGCAGCGGTGGCATCCTCGGCCGTCTTGGGTCTTCCAAGCTTCCGTGGATCTCCGCACAACACCAGCCACACTAGCCCGGCGAGCTTAAGCAGAACCTCCATGTTGCTTGAATGCCACTACATATCTGTTAATCGTGAGCTGTGAAAGCCTTTCGACCTTTTTTGCAGGCTTTCGGCTCTTTGTTGGTTATCAAATGTTTGCCTCGAACGCGTTGCAGATACACCTTTGCAGTTTTGATGAGGCACAGAGCCCATCTCTTCCACGATATTGGGGCCTGCCTTCTCGAGCCTTCCAAACAGATTGGAAATCCAGCCTTGAAGTCTACAGCAAAACAAACACTGACCTGGCCGCCATCCAGTCGAAAGTTCTTCGTCTTCTTCTGCACTTGAACCCTTGAACTTCACAGGTATCATTCTAGGACCAGCAGAATCAAAAGCACCTCCTCGTGACACTTCCCATTCCTGGCCGAGACCCCGACCTCACCATCGCGGGACCCCGATGCAGGGACCTTAAGAAAGTCTCCAGGCGGACAGGAGCCATGGAATCTGCTGGCTGGCCTGCTTCTGTAACAAACAAACAGTCCGGGCACCAGGCGCTGGCAAGCGATGTCAGCGCCCGGGCGAGTGCGCCCACGGGCATCCGCTTCCTCAGTTCTGCCGGCATACTGATGCTCATCGCCGCCTGGCCTCACTCTCACTCACCATCGCCTCCATCAGCAACACCACCATTGCCATGGAACCCATCGCAATGATAATGTTACTGACAACGACGATGCTTACATTGATGATGCCGGTGCTGGCGGGAGACGTCATGACAGGGTTGTGTGCTTCTGATGTAATATTTAGCTGGTGCCTTGGGCGTGGACAATTCGCTCTCTTCCGTCTGTGTTACAGCTGCCACCACCTGTCGCAGGGAAAAACGGGTCTTGCTGCTGCAGGTTTCTCTGCATCATAGCCAATAAGGCGTTGAAGAAATGAAGTAGTTACTACTGGTAGTTGCTAGTTGTGACTTCCTGTACAATGTTTTGAGTGGTACTCCTATTCGCATTCGTTTCAATGCCGGTGTTAATGAGACTACTGCCTGCATTTGCATTAGTACCATGAGCCGTGTTCGCATTGCGGTATTCGTCGTGATTGTACTGGCGAGCACTAGCAACCGTATTATTACTGACTTATGCTCGTACCCTTGCTTTCAAGGAGCTCACACGGAGGCCTCTGCAGCCTTGGGTGTGGCGCGAAGCTGTTTGGCGAGCCTTTCGTGCTTGGGCCTGGCAGTGAAACAAGCTGCGGGCTTGCTGCACGCAAAAGCCGCTCAGCACAGTGCAAGTTGACGGCTGGAGATTTGATGCCCACATCTAAAGTCCTGGGTTCTCGAGTTCATTTGGGCAGTGCTTGGAGACCGTCGCCGTGCAAATCTTGCAGAAACGTTTCTCCCGGGCAGCAAAGCAGGTTCAAGGCCTCGTCTTGAGGTCTTTTCGAGCTGCTGCAGGCATGGTTGTTCCATGCTGGTGGGCATCATCGTGGCATTCTTGCCCCCCTGTTCTTCAGCACATGGCAGTGCTGACTTGGGCTCACGGTCATTGCTTCTCATTGGGAGCCCGGAAAGGACTGGTTGTTGGGCTCTGTGGTGGCAAGGCGGAGTGCGGCAGCCATCCTTCCACTTTACTTTGGTTTGCATGACTCCAGCAGCAGCAACCCTTGGCCATCCTTTGTGGCAAAACCCTTCTAGATACTTCATAGCAGCCGTGTTATAGTTAGCTGCATTCCCGACGATGGCCTTGTGCTTCCCAAAGCCGCTTGTCGGCTCATGAAAGCACGGTCTTTGGCCTTCTACGCCTGCTTCGTCCCACGAGAGCGGCCCGCCCTTGACTTGGCAAGGACGATAGCTGTACAGGATGGTTCGGTAGCGGGGCCGAGACTCTGCACATGAGCAGCGCTGTATTCTCAATCTAGGATAATATGATAATATCTGCAAAATGTCACACCTTCGGTTACTTCGGGTAGTCCCACCATCTACCATCTCCCTTTATACTGTCCACTGACACAAGATCAACTTCCAGCTTGTGCAGACTCGGCACCCCTACAGACTGTACACGTAATGTGGGGAAGTAATAGCTTATATTGCAGCTGCGGAACTGAGCAACTCCCTGGCAAAGCCTTGTCAAATGGACTCTGCTATTTGCACGATCTGGCCCAAGAGAAAACCTCAGCCGGTTGTGACTTCCGACTGCGCGCCATGCAGAGTGAAGGATGCACAAAGTGACTACTTTGTATCCAGGGAACTACCCATGGCACCGTCAATGAACAAAGAACCCATCCGGCAGGCAGCAGGCGCAAATGAAGGTCGTTGTTCAAAGCGGTCCTTGGATTAAATACTTCCCGTGTTCCGTCCTGACTCCACTCGGGAGGGCACTTCTGTTTGGGCTTGTTGGACAAGCAGCACTGCCGACAGCACGACCACGCAGGCCAGGGCATACACATCGAGCATGGCGAAATCGCGAAACCAGGACCTGCCAAGAAACTCGAAGTGACCACCTACAAATGCACGCTTTTGCAGCCTTCCTTGATGCCTACACCCGGATTGATGTAGTTCTGAAAGTCTACATACTTGTCAATAAACACAAGTTGTATACATATATATATATACAACCTACATGCATTCACATGCACATAAACAAGTGAAAACAAGCATATCTTTAAAACGGAAAACTACCATGAACAAATAATACATGTATAGTATACATATATTATGCGTACTTACATGTAGCGGGCTATCTATTGTCAAGTCTGTTTACACCGACGTGCTTCCATAGATACGGACAGATATCAACATGATATCAGCCTTTAACATCACTCAAACGCCTTCTTACTGGCCCCACCATGCCTGAGTGTCGCAGGCACCTCAGTTGCAAAGGGCTTGCTAGCAACGACCACCTTGGTTTCCCACAGCATGATGTAAGTTTCCATCAACTCCTTTCTGCCGGTTGGGTGGGTTTCTGGTCGGCGAAAAAGAACCCGACCCTCGCAGCCGCGAAGGCAATGCCGATGTGGGGGGAATGCTGACCCTCTGTGTGTGTGCAGCTGTTCATGATCCCAATGCTGGTGGGAAACCACCCTACTCTCCACATCGGGTATCCAATGCATAGCCAACCCGTCTTGACCTGCTCTGAAGTGTATGCAGCCTCTACAGTATGACACTTTCTTAATATGTGCTTCATGGCGCAGCTCTTGCTTCAACGACGCACAGCATAGATCTGCTCACTGCTACCATGTAGGGTGAGGTGTCATGTAGTCGCATCCGGCGCTGTCCCTTGGATTAAGATGCTACCCCGAGCAGGACTGGATTGCACGGTTGCCGAGTCGCCGGGTTGCAGCCGCCGAAGAATGCCACCGAGCAGAGGGCCACATCCACTGCAGGCACCAGGAGAAGCAGCAAGGCCTGGCGTATCACAGTTGCATGCTTTGAGATTTGCCAAGACTTCGCTCGGCCGTTTGACTGAAAAGTTCATTTCTGCTCTGCTATGGCTCTTATTGATCATCTGATTGAACTAGCACTGGCAGAGGAGCAACTCGCGCAGTCAAGGTTATGTGGCCGGATCTGCAGCCAAGGTGCAAAGCACACAGCAGCCCCGGCGAAGCCATGGTCCTAAGTTGCATGGAGAGCCGAACAGGCTCACTGCCGGCAGACATCACAGACCGGAACAAGAGATGGCCAAGCAAGCGCAGAAGGGCTTGAGCACAGCTGGAACATGCACGCGTTTCCCTTGTGAATGATCGCGGCGAGTCTCCCATAGTGAAGCGATCATCAAGATGATGGACATCCGGGCGTCGAGGCCGATCATAGGAAAGGTGACCTACATTTGCACTGCATTTGCAGAACCCGAAAACATTCGGCCAACCCATGCTCTCCTGAACCCGTAACAGAACATCGGTGAGCCTTCATCAGAGGTAGCAAGGCCAAGCCTGCTACTGTCCCGACTGCCAGGACACCCGCAACCAATGACAAAGCCTTGCCACCAGATGCAAACAAGGAGATCTGTGACTCACAGGGCATGGCTGACTTCATGTGCGTCTGATGAGACCGGTCGATACGGCGCATCAGTGTAAAAACGAGGCTCTGACACATGGCCCAACAGTGGCACCATCGCTGTCCTCATGGGCATCTTCCGATTCCTGCATGCCGAGAAACTAGGGAGGCAAGGAATAGCAACCGATCGGTACAAACCAACTTTCGCAAGTCAACTGGAACAAGCAGAGCGTCCGCGTTGTGGTCTGCAGGCAGGGGAATCAGCAGGGCGCCGACGACGCTCAACACCTAGTTGATGATGCTGATCAAGGCAGCCAATATCGCCGATGCATACGCACCAACACTATTCAGTGTCAGCAAATGCCACGGCCGTGAACTGAGTGTGGGACACAATAGCTCATGAAGTAGTAGAAGCCATCATGCAGCTTGATCTGGGCCACTACAAACACTGCCTACAGCTCCAAATTCTAGTTTCTGCTTTTGCATGACGTCGTTGCCTCCAAGTACAGATGTGGTTGGCAGAACAACCCACAGATTGTGCCAGCGGTGAAGACATCCACTGTGGCCCACTTCGAGATCTTCTGAACAGCCCTGCCAAGCACGCTTGCAGCAAACTCAATGCATGCGAGATCTTGCAAGCTCCACATGTAGTGCTGCAGAAGGGCAGTCTCACATTTGCGGCATGTTCGAGTCATGCATCAACCGCAGAATGGGTAGCAAAGTCAAAACGGCCTGACTGCTCCGGGCGAAGAGAGCCCCCGAATTCTCAAGGCTGGGTGTGCGTAGCTAATGAACACGACCAGCTTCGCAAATGGCATAAGAACCTTAGACTGTTTCAGGAAAGTAGCGTCAAGACTCTTTTGCAAGTTCCCGCAGCCACGAACGCCTCGAAGGCTTGAAGCTGCAGCCTGAGGCCTCTGCAGAATATCCCAGAATGATGAGAGCTGGCAACAACATTCCGTTCTGGAACAACAAGACAATCAAGCCCAAGGTGGACTTCTCCACGTCAAGCACGACCTCATTCCAGAATCGAAGACTACGGCAAACTGCCGTTTGAGGTTGAGGCTGGCCCGACTTGCCAAATTCAAGTCCAGCGGCACTGGCGCCAACCACGGCTTTCGCGGAAAACATTTTAGTGACAATACCTTCAGTGGTGTGCAGCAAGGTCGGATTCTGCGACAGCGGTTGCAGGTTGAAGCGATGACCAACAGATCCTGATAGCATGGCAATTATGTGCACTACGGCCACGGTGCCGGGAATCAAAAAGGCATATGCGGCCGTGAGCGCCTCAGCCGACATCTTGCATGGCGAGCTGCGTAGCATGGGGCACCACATTGTAATCAAGCCCACGCAACATCCGAGGCACAGGCTATCAAGCAAAACAGGGTTTTCATTGAGATGACCTTGGCAGCTATTTCACTCGCAACAGATGCAACACGTTGACCCAGCTTGTGCATATCACAGAGGCTTCAGTTCTGCCAAGCAACAAACTTTGAAGAGTCTCCATCGTGCATGTCCAGCGCCACGTTCCCAAAGGCCTAGGCTTGCGGGATCTGAGCGGCATGGCAAGGATTGCATCTCTAAGACGCTTGCAAGGAACGGTCGAACCGTAAACCCTATGAATCAGAAGCCCCTACACTCTAAATCCTATCCATGCCTGTAAACGAAGGCAGCGCACAGGCTCAGGCTGCAGCCTGATCGCCGCTGAGCAGACGAAGGTCTGTCTCCGGCGAAAGCTTCGGATCTGACAGGGTGCACTACGGCTCAGGATAAACATAAGGCTAGCAAGGGCCTCAAACTCCTCCATTATCAAAAGAGGGTCTTGTGGGCACAATCAAAAGCATACTCATTAATTAGAAGGGGATATCATAAAGAAATGATGCTCATCAAAAACATGGTGTCCGTATGCACAGTCCCCGAGCTCTTGTTTTGGAGGGCTTGCAGGCTGCACCGCAACAAAGCTCCCATGGTGCAGGATGGTCAACGGCACGTCACCTTCAGAAGAATCTTCGTCTGAAGAGACCCGTTGACGCATGATCAGCATCCACCTGAGAGAGGTATCTATGTGTTCTTGCTCCAGCACGTCGAGCGATCGCCAAACCAGAGAAAAATAACCAGGCCCCGGGCAGGCCAATTGCTAAGCCGAGCCAGAAGAGGCCTCGCTGCCAGTCACTTTTTCCATCTTCCCCAACACATCCGAAACTTCCAGCCGCCAGGATGCTACAAGGCATCATGCCAGCTCCGGCAATGCAAAACAGCAGCCAACCTCATCGAGACCCCCTCCGGCAGCTGAAATCACATCTGCTACAGATTGACAGGCTGAGCTGCTGAGCTCAGTGCCTGCGGCGACTGATGCTGGAACGTCTTGCCCAGACTTCCTTCGATCACAACTTTGGAACTACCAGCTGCCAGTTGATGCGATGCTGCATCTCTACAGAACTTTCGCTCTCTTTCGTTGTCCCGGCTGCCGTCTGAACTCAGACAGGAGGTTGCCAAGAATGGCCGTCAGGCACCTTGAACTCGACTCTCTAGACTGTGCCAAATCTGCTTCAACCACCCAGCACTTTCGCCAAGGCAGCTGCACTGAACAAGATGTCCAAAAGGCTGCCGAGCGCTGAAAGAAGGCCGCGCGCTGCGTCACGTCCTGCCAACATCCATACTGTACTCGAGCACGTGGGCTGCAAGTATTGATGCACTCCGGAAACCTGCATGATGAGGAGGTCGGGTGCTGGCATCGAACCTCGCAAGCACCCCTGCGCAAGAATGACGTCAGCTTCCAATCTAACCCCAGCCTAGCAATCCTTGATGAAGACATTGCGTCAGAGGGTCTCGGAACTCCTGAACAGGGCAGCTTCGTCCAGTCAGTGCCCCGAAATGGCCGGGACTGCACATGCCGGCACCTGGCTGCTCAGAGCTACCACCAGTTGGAGTACCTGAGTATCACCACCACGGCAAAGCGATACAAGCACTGCTTTTCCTTTTTGGCTTGAAGTTGGACTGCAGTCCCGAAGCTGCATAGATTTGCAGTTGAACTCCCGGGCAGAGTAGGTCACAGATCATGGCCACTCCAGAGGCTCCATAGCTTCGAGCTGGTGTCGGGCAGCACGTAACTGGCTATTGGTAGCACAGAAGAGCATTCTTTCATATTAAATAAACTTACTACTATACATTATCAACTGTCATATGCTACACAGTTTATACCTGCAGCTTGCAATCCTGCTCGGTTTGGAGGTCTGAAGGTCAGGTCCCGGAGCTCGGCCAAGAATGTCTGGGAGTGTAAGACTTCAAGTGAATGGTGGCCGCTAGCCCTTGAATGCCAAGGCCTGAGTCGTACCAGCTTCTCCTGCAACGCACAGTCTAACACTGAGTTTGTAATTCCTCAGATGGTGGACAAAGGCGTCCTGGGGCTTGTACTCAAAGGTGGACCAGTGACCCTCGAAATAGGCCTGCCATGCCGGAAGTGAAGGCTGCACTGTGCCACTCCACTTGTGCGCTCTGACTTTGAAGTCCTGGAAGTCCTCCGCATCCCAGACAGGCTTTCCCATCACCTGATTTCACCCGAGGAGGCACTACGGCGTTTGCAGTGCTGAGTCACTTGTCTCTGTCACCTCACGGGTTTGGATCTGGCTCACTTCACCGGTGGCCTCTTTGAAATGGCTCTTGACAGCTTCGTCCTCCTGCAGCTTGGAAAGGTCGATCCTCAGGTGAATGGAGCAGTGTCAGCCTGCAGCTCTGACGCCGTTCCTAGCTCAAGCACCTTGATAATCTCAGATACTGGCCAGGCACCGGGCTCTTCCGCACCTGAGTTGCAATGCACGTCCTGCACTTCATGCTCCAGCAGTGCAAACCAAAAGGTGCTGTCTTGAGCTGTGCTTTGGCAGTGAATGCTTGAGGGTCTGAGCAGGAAACTAAACACGGGCTCTAGAACCTCATCGAGGTTGATGAACTTGAACCTTGCAGGAGCGCATTCTGCGACTGATCCCCAGTATCCCTGTGCACCGAGTCGTGAGCATCGATTGAAAGTCGACGAAAATGAAGTCGAGCACCCGATCCTGCAAAACACTTTCAGCGTTGCAACTTGTCACATTGTGCCGAGTCGGCGCCTCAGCTTCTTCCAGGAAGGGAACTACCTGAGCTTGCCACAGTCCCGGCGACCACAACGCCGAAAACACTATGCAAAGCCCACAGCATGTTGAAAAATCGAACAGTCTCAGGTCAGGACCCTTAGAAATGTAGGGGGGAAGTAAGCCAGGTAATGCCTGTCACTCGGAGAATCACTGAGCTTAACCACAGGCGGCTACTTCTGCAGCTGGGCCAGGGCCTTGCCTGTTGTTGCAGGCAGCCCTTAGAATCAAATGTGGCAGGCTTGCCCCCGCTGGCTTGCCGTTTCAAAGCGAAGCCTGGGTCGCAAGACTGCCCTGTATGAGTCTCGGCGGAGACAGTGCCTCACAACCCGGGTCATGCTGAGTTTACGACGCGCCCTCGCATATTGGACTGGCCTCAGATCAGACAATTCCCTGGCTTCCTCTCATCGTCATTGGCATGTCACCGGCGTGCACTTCCTGCATGCGAAGGCTTCGTTGCCACACACTGTAGTGTAACGCCGAAGAATACTGCAACTGAGCTTGGTTTTCGGCCTTGGTGACAAAGTTGACGCTATCAACCTCTCGCAGAGACTTCATGATGCAACCGGACATGCAATCAAGATAGCTTGCCGACACAGCAACACTCAGACGGCAGTGTAGGACAAGCAACAAAACTAGTATCTGCATGCCGTACAAAATGGGACGATTGCGGCTGATTTACATGTGTGCACAGATTCGTGCATGTGCATGTGTGGACATATGTGGGAGTTACTACCTCTTTGCACTACTACATGTCACTGCAGCTGTTATGTCATTGGCATGCGCCACATGCTATGCACCAAAACCATCCAAAACCAACACATTTCCTACTAAATCAAATCTTTCGGCATAGCGATCAGAAAGAACCACGATGTACCACAACAATGAAGCAAGGACGGCTGTAAATGCAAAAACCGAAGCATCAAGCAGTTGTGGCCCACTGACATAGACACACCCGCATCGCATGTTCGCTTGCTTTGCTTGCTCTCGGTCCTCTGCTGACATAGGCGCTATTTTAGCTTCCAGGTCATTCCAGTGAAGCGGTTTTCCCGGCCTTCTGCCCCTTGTTTGCGGGCGCAAGGCCTCGCTACACGTCAGCTGATGTTTACAATGCCAAGACCCGTCCGGAACTCAAGAGGCTAGCCCTCTTCGCTTCAACTGTCTGAGATGCATGCGGACTTCGCTGCCTTACGCCAAACGAAGTGCCCCATGTGCCCCTCTATCCGGAGCTACGAGATGCTGCGAGTAGTCGCTCGAAGTGCCTCTGATGAAGCAAGATTGCGGAAGCCCAAGCTTCTGGCCGGCCGCGCCCGCAGTTTTGGCTTTTTGCGGGTCGAACGCGATGTTGAGGCCACCAGCCCGACCTCCAGCCGCCCAACGCAGTGGGGTATCTCCTCTTCACCAGAAAGACGTCAGGACGGGGCCGGCAGCAGCCCCTCTCTTGTCGCCACGTGCTTTGGACCCAAGCCCACGTATTCGACACATGTTGTTCACCTGCGCCGTCGTGCGGCTTTCAGCTGCTCCGCTTAGACATGCCAGATTGCGAGCGGTGACTACACCACGTGAAGTCGGACACTGCCTCGGGCAGCCACCACAGCGCGAGCTTGGTTCCAGTGAAGAACGTCTTGAAGTCCGCATCCGGCGCGTCTCCTCCCGGGACACCCCGACCGCAAGATGCTGACTGGAGCCCAGTGGACGACCTCTGGAGTGAACGACAACTCGGCGGCCCAGACCTGGATGAAGTGCGGATCTCACTCAACGGCTGGTTGAACTCACACAGGATCACACAATGCGACTGTGAGCCTCGGATGAAGCTCTCGGGATGACCGACAGGCTGCATCATGAATCTGAGATCGGTAGGACACATACATATCAAACTCGTGCCACTTGGTGCTGCTCAACACTCAATGTACCGTACACTGCAGGCTCTAGGTGACTGCTCGACACAATGCGGAAGCTTGGCTCTGCACTCTTTGGGTATCTCCACCCTTGGAGCCGATCTTGGCTTTGCAGGAGCCTTTCGTTTCCTCTTGCACGGCTTCTTCTGCGTTTATACGGTGATTGCTACTTGTGCTACCACTTCCTCAGGCCTGCGATTAGTGCGACATTAAGCATCGGAGTGTCAGCAGTTTAATCTGATGTTGAAACTAACGCCCACCGACAGGTCCTGCTTGAAGCTGCACGCTGCAAGTCGTAGGTCTCGCGCCTTGGTGTCGAGAATCAGCTGACTAACAGGCGATCACAGCTCTTGCTCACCTCAGCACATGGCTTGATTGGATTTGTCACGATCTCGTAGGCTGTGTTCAGCAACCGAATCTTTTCCTCACTGGGCCATGCATGATACAAGAACTGCAGTAGCCGTCACAGAGGCAAAGATCGCACCTCTGCGGTCTCACGGTCGGCAGGGTTTCGATCTGGATGCCATTGAAGCACTAGGCGGCCTCGAATGGGCGAAACCCAGGCACCGTGTCGCCAATTACTGCCCCTGGGACCGTTCACACAAATTTGGGTCAAGTCGCGGTATGCTTTCTTGATGGTTGCCTCATCGGCGTCCTTCAAGGCTTAAACCAAGACTGCAATGTACAAAGGCTCGGACTGTCGGCGCTGATGTCCTCATGTATCTCAAGTGCTGCATAGTAGTCGGGCAGCGCCCTTCGAAGCGTGGGCGCTGTCATGGCATTTCTCTGAGACTTCCTTGAAGAAGATGGGTGGGTTTCGCAGGTGGAGGAGCGGGATGTACACCTCTCCGTCTGGTGGTCTGCATCTTAAGCTGCTGAAGGTGGTCCACAAACATCAGCATCGACAGCACACGTGAGAGTGTTCTTGTTTGCCCTCTTCGCTTGTTGCAGAAGTTGATGCTACGAGGCATGCTTCTCGAGGTTGCTCCACGATGCTTTGCTTCGTCTTCTCGCTAGCTGGTTGACCAAGCTCCACAAATGCGCTCACTGCACTGAACCGACCAACTACATGGTACTCTACATGGTACTCTCTCCCTCTCTGATGTACCTGCAACACAAGAAATATGAAGGACGAAACGATATGCCAGACAAGAAACAGTAAAATAGTCATGCCACATGTATGCTAGCAGCTGAAGCAGCATGGTAACGCAACTCTGTTTCCTCACAGTGCATAGACTTTCTGCGAGGAACGGCCACTGGCAGCGAAACGCGGGCTGTTTAGACTGGGCTTCCCGTTCGGTCTGCAATGAACCTCCTAGATCGCTGTATTGTTGTCCAAAAGCGGGATCTTCGTCTCAAAGAGCCCCTCGAGTGCAGCTTGGGTGTCCAAGGTCGCCGCACAGCGCACGCTGTGCTTCGCGGAGCTCCCCAGAGACTCCAATATCCCTTAATAAAGGAATATACCTTAAATTATAGTAGGAACCCTAATATGATTTAAGGTATATTCCTTAATTAAGGGGTATTGGAGTCTCTGGGTGTGAGCTCTTTGGCACGAGCTCCCGACCTTCAGGCGACTCTGCGCAAGGCAGTCGCCGGCAGTCTCGACTCCTGGGAGTTGTTCCGTGGGTCCCAACAGCTGCTTTCAGCTGTTTAGAACCCAAAAAATCGGAGGACGAACATAGATGTGCTGATCTCTTTGCCTTCCTCACAACAGCAAACTTCTGTTTGAAGCTGTGGGCTCGGATTGGGTCAGCACAGCTAGCAGATGTCCACCTCAAACCTCAATTTGCTCACGGAGATCAGCCATCAGCAGCTGTAAGTGCGGTCGTTGAAGTCACTGCCTCTGCCAATCTATGTCCAAACTGACTCAACATGACAATCATGAAACCAGTCCGTGTCCACTTGTTGAGACTGATGCTTCCGCATGCTCAGATATTCCATGCTACAAACATGTCGCTCGACAAACCAAGGGGCCGTGGCCGTCGGTGAGGAAACAGTCGGCAGGCTGCTCCTCGCCTTGCAGTGCAGCTCCGAAAAAAAACGCTCAAGTGAAGCCATTTCAAAATTTCCGACCGTCCAGGAAGACAGCAAGCACATATGATATCACATGATGAACGACAAGGAACACATTGGCACACCATGCACACCATGCGATCAAGGGCAGACCAGGTGTCAACAAGGGCTTCCATGATCCGAAAATAGAAAAAGGGACAGCGAATGGTCGCTCTTCCGACCCCATTGAAAGCAACGATGGCTTTCCGGCTTGCAGGTTGCTTGCCTGGGGCGAACGACAAACATCTCAGTTAAACGCCCCTGCTTATTCGCCGGAGCCTTGCAAGAAATGCATAGATACACGTGCATAAACGGATACACACATACACGGACACATGGAAATATAATACAGACTGTGGGGGCGAGAGAGATAGTTGTAGAATGATTGTCTATAAATATCTATCACGTCCCACATACTTTTCCCTGGCCTCTATCCAACAAATTGCGTGTCGCTGACATTACCTAGGTGAATGTTGTGAATACGTGTCCTTCCTTGGCGATGTGTTTCTATCGTTCAATTCCATTTGCTTGCTCGCGTATTAGTCTACACAGTCTACATTACCGACATGTTTCTTTTTGCATGCTTTTGTCAGCACATACCTTTCTGTCGACGCTTCTTCGCTTGCTTCACACCTCGAACTTGGATCTTCGGTGTCTTCAGCTCTTCCGTGAGGTGTCGAGGTTTGGGCCGGACCGTGGGCTCGACGATGAGCCCGATAGTAACGATCTTCTGCTTGGAGGACGCCGAATGACGCCGACATGTGCACATGATCTGACAGATCCTTGTCTTTTACCACTGACAACAGACAAAAGCATGCGCAAGTCCCACTGCAACCTCTCCCAGCGGCTCGGCCCGGCAGGCTCACAACATCCTTCGACTGTCAGCTTGGAGCAGTATCTGTGCAGATCAACACAGGGGACAGCTTCACGTCCTGGCCAGAATCCCCATAAGCACGGCATGGTTGCATTACATCCGTAGCTGCCCGTGGCCAGAAAAAACGTCTTGCAAATAATAGGTCTGCATCCCGCGAGCTCGGGGAAAACAAATCTGTGACGGCTGAACATCGCGAAACACATCAAGCTTTGCATCCCTGCCAAACATCCATTTCGAGCACGTCTTCCGCCTACCCTTGCAGGCACAGGAACGACTGCAACCAAAATTGTGCCGAACAACCCACATTTAGCAATGCTGCAAGATATCGCGGTAAATTGTTTAAGCAGTATGGAAATAGCCGCAAACTCGAGCGGAACCCCGATTCCCAAGCATCCGTCGGGATAACAAGCCATGCGGCAGGCTCTGTGTGTTCTGACATGCTTTGCCCATTGATTTATGTCGGTGAGGGTAAACAAGGTATTCACAACTATCATTGAATCCATGTGTGCGCTTCTGCCTCTCGCATGTGGGAAGACTGCACGAGTATGCATGCTTGCAAAATGCACCAATACCGCCAATGCTTGCAGACTCCAGACCCACTGCAATGGAACATGCAGACATATACAAACGGCAGGAACAAACACAAACAGGCGCACACCTACGCACGTGTGTACAGGCATCCGATGAACTACATTCGCTAGATCTGGGAGCTCAGCTGGCTCTGTTAACGGGATCCGACAGGCTGAGGTCTCCGCGTAGACTGCCGACCCATTCCAGATGACTGCCATCCTCCCAGCGCCCTACTCGCACCTGCGGCAAGCTGTCGAGTCTAAGAGATGTGATCGTGCGCTCTTCGCATGCTGATGCACTGTAGTATGGGAGACCATGTTTCTATGTTGGCCGAGTCATGCAGCGCAACCTTACCTCATGCGCGACAACGGACGGTAAACATTTGTAAACCTCCATTAGTGCTATGGGTCACTATATACCTAATGCGGCCACGAGCCTTGCCGTCAAGGTTCTTGTACCTTGCCACACCATGCTGCTTGCCTGCAGGGTTGGGGGTGGCAGGATCTGCTACGCCGGCCTTGCCCGCTCGGCACAGTGACATCTGGTGCTCTGCTCTCTCATCCCTCGGAAGGAGCTGATGGGTCAGATTTCCTCAGACCTTGTAGCCACTGGCCACTGTACTGTGCCCCTGAGGACCAGCGAAAGCATCCCTCTCCATGCTTGTGATCTCGGATGTAATGGCCCTGGTAGCAGCGCCCATCCGGCCAGGTCCTTGGATTTTCGAGTTTGAAGCTCCTATGAGAAACCTCCGCCTCAGCACTTGCTCAGGGCTGGGCATGATGCCCCAGCCATGAAGCTTGTTCTTGTCCCATCCCCCCTTGTATCGGCGACCGTCTTGCCACCTCAGGGGAAGAAGGCACCGGCGTCAGGGATGCGCTGAGAACATCGCAGGACACGGCCTGTAGTCACCAGACCCATGGAAGCAGTTGTTGCTGAAGCCTCCCTTGTAGATGGCGCCATCAGTCCAGATGAATTTACCATGCCCATCCTTGGCGCCTGCGCGGTACATGCCCTCAAATCCTTGGAGACAGCATGAAACACGGAAAACGTGCTCTAGACACTGAGCCGAGTGTTGCCGACTTCTTGGTACCAGCGCACTCTAAGCCGGACATCTAGAGAAGAGTTTGTCCAAGGCTCGGGAGCCGTCGGGCCAGGTTTCGATCCCATAGCCGTGTTGGAGGTCATTGAGCCACTGGCCCTCGTAGGAACTCCCATCTCTGCGTGTGAAGATGCCGAAGCCTTCTGCTCGCTCATTGACCCATTGCCCCTCGTAGACATCGCCCGAAATGTAAGCCAACCGGCCCTCGCCATGGGGCTTGTCATCGACGAAATTGCCCTCGAAGCGGCTTCCGTCCTTGCTTCGAGTGTGACAAGAAGGCCAAAGAAGCTTACAACTCACAGCTTGATGCCCAAACCCTGCTTCAATGCTGGCTTAAGCTTTCCAGAGGCTCACATTTAGGCCGGCACTCAGCTCATCAGACTTAGACTTGAACCACAACAAAGCCCTCGAAACTGCCAGCCACACCACGGGTTGCTCGAGGATGCCGTAACCTTGCTTCTGATCATCGACCCATGTGCCAGTAAATCGGAAGCCACCCTCCAGAATGACTGTAGAGCCATCCTTAGCAGGACAATACAGCTGGTAAGCCTGCTTTGCTGAGGCGGCAACCCCAATGTTTGTTTTCGCAGGAACTGCTGAGCCTCTTTGGGCAGAGGTCTGCGGCTAGGTCTCTCAATCAAAGTCATAGCAAGGGAAGCCTGCCATGCGTGTATCTCCACCGGCCGCACAAATCACAGAGCCCCAAAAACAGGCAGCGCCGGCAAGGCCCTCGAAAAGCGAGTATGGTCGATCTGCCAGCTGAGACAAGTCGTCTTGATGCTCGCAAGCAAATACTGCGAAGTGCAGCGCTCGATTCAGCCACACTTCGTCCTGCGTTTGTCTGTAAAGGGCCAGAAATGCGAAACCGTTTCCTGGTGTACCATGACAGAGTCCAAGCCCCTTTGTGCTCAGAAGCCCCCTCCTCCAAATCACGTGGCCCAACTCCTGGGCCTGCTGCAAATATCGTGGCTCTTTGTAGACGCTGGCTAAGCGCAGCATGAGGGGCACTGCGCCAGTTGCGCCATGGCAGAACTGAACCAAACGATCCCTGTCACTCCCCACAGACGACGGCAAGTTCCCACTCACGAAACGCCCATCCAACAATTTGTCAGCACTCCGGCAGATGAGGTTTGCAACATCGGACCCCGCTGCTGCAAGCTCTTCTGGCAGCTGCACCAATGTGTGGAGAATGCCTGCAATGCCATGAGCACCTCCAAGGTAGCACTTGTCATGCCACTCATAGTAGAGTGGCCAGCCTTCCCGTGCATGGCGCCGTCCCGATTCAACCACTTGCCTGGACAAACGCAGTCATCAATGAGTGCTTTTGTTTCGCGTCTCTAGATATGCAAGTATGTATGTATATGTATGCATGTGTATATGTATATCTACATCTGTATTCTGTCTACAGAGAGACACACACACAGACACACACTTGCTACAGTGTGGCATTCGCTTGGGGTAGTGGGGAACAGCCCGACGAAAGCTTGCAGCCCTGTCAGCGCCTGCATACACACCTGTGCTTTGAAAGCCAAATGCCGTGCCTCACAAGCTCTGTCGCTGGCTCGGCTAGCAGTTGAGGGTCTTTGAGATGTTTCCGCAGGAAAAGCACAACACCCAGAAAGCCGCAGCGGCCGTAGAGCACCTCACACTCTCCTTCCGGCAAAGAAGAGGCAAGCTCCGCCAGCCGCTCCACCCTTCCGACACACTCCCGCACCTTCTCACAAAGGGGGTGTTGCATATAAAAATTCAAAGAGGGCTTGTGACTTGTGGTTCTGTTTGCAAACTCCCGCTCCTTCTCCTGCTCTTGGCAGAGTTGGTGCGTCCAGGCCTGCAGAGCAACGCAGCCTGCCAGCCCTTCCAAGAGAGTCACGCGCCGCGCATCGGACGATCTTTCTGCCTCTGCCAGGATGCCTGCGCTGTCCACACAGGAAGTGGATGGATCATGGAGGCCGCAGGCTGCGAGGTGCAGTAGTGTGTACGCCACTCCGCCGGCACCCGTGTAGACACTGCCCTCAGCTGAAAGCTGTCAAAATTGCTTGTGTTCGTTGAAGCTGGATCTAAACATGCGAATATTCCTACAGATTGGTTGGGCTTTCAGGAGTTTCTTCGCCCAACCTCTCCTTGCGATGCTTGGCCCGCAGAAGAGACGCCTTCAGCGTCTCCAGGGCCCCGCGCAGCTTGACCTCCCAATCTTTGGGCCTCGAGGAGTCATCCAAGTCATTGCGGAAATGGCGCCCGTCCTCCACCTCCATCTGCTTGGCTCTCTCTCCCTCTCTCTCTCTCTCTCTCTCTCTCTTTCGCAAGGGCTGGGGGAAGGGGTTCGCCCCCTCTCCACATCTGAGTGCGCCCCACTCACTCATCGTGGGTGCGTATTGTGGGTGCCGATGGAGACTTGCTTGTTTGCTTGCCTGCTTGCTGGAGACACTCTCTCTTTGCTTTGCTCGGGGTTTGTGTCTCTCTCTCTCTCTCTATCTTGCTTGCTTGCTTGCTTGCTATCTCTCTCTGTCTCTCTCTCTCTCTCTCTCTCTGTCGCTTCGCTGACTTGAGCCGCAAGGCACGCGTGATGTTCTGAGAGCAACTGTACAGTTGGTTCACAACGCCTCCTAGGTGCACGCAGGCTGCAGTTCGAGGCATCATAGGCTCCTGCACTGTTGCAGCTTGACATCAACCCTCCCCGAACTCTGTGCTGCGGTGCAGCAAGTCACCCTAATTCTCCCTGTAGGTTCTGTAGACTGGAAGGACTATTGACTCAGGGAAGTGAGGAGCCTTTCGAATGGAAGCGATGGAAGCTGTAACAAGACCAGCACTGTCAACCTCAAAGAGTAGGAAGAGTCTAGTGGGAACCCCAACGTCAATAGTTATAGGCTAGTCATTGCTACTGCCTGTCTGGGCTCAGGGTCACAAAGGCCTAAAACCACATCCGACACTTCTGCATTTTCGGGGTGACCTTGTGCAACCTGCTTTGCGCAGTTACCTATGATTTCTTTGCCGAGTGTCATCCTCCAAGCTTTCTGCTCCGAGGGTGGGCTGTGCCTTGACAACAGTTTTGCCTTCAGGCACGATGCCTCAGATTCTGCGAGAAGCCACAAGCAGGTGCGTTTGCCGAGCCCTGTGTGTCACCCATGTAGCAGCGCTTCAGGTTAGAGAAGTAGGTGGTATACATCGTGGCCGGATGTCTTTGATTCTGGCATGCCAAGGAACTATGCTCCACGACGCCATGGGCTGAGTGGTCGTTGCAGACGCAGGAACAGTTTCCCATGGCCACACATGGCCTACACGATTTGCGAAGAAGCCTCCCCTTCCTTGGCCTTTTTGACTCTGTGCCATGGCAAAACTGCATCTCCGGGACCTTCCGTCGCCAGAAGAGTGTAGAGTGTCTATACTTTTCTTGCGTGGTACCTGGTTTTTAGACCTAGCGGCGGGGGAAGGTCATCACCGATCTGAGTGTTGAGTCTCTATGCAAGACCCTGTGTTAATCGCAGTCTCACTGCACATGCAAAGGTTGATGCTGCTTGTCTTGCCAGCTTTCTGCCGTGCTGCGGGCACGAATGCGACCTGTACTCAACGCAATGCTCTGTGTTTTCTTCAGCAAGACCGACCTGAAGGAAGATAACGGGCATGCAAAGACATGCAAGGCAACTGGAAGTTCGCGCATTTTCGGTCGAGTGCCGGTCGCATGGCCAAGCACCACCTGCCAAAGCTGACTACCGCCAACTTCTTGGCCAACATCCGGTCATGCCCCACTTGCACTTCAACCGCACCTGCTGCACCTGGTCATGACCTGCGCAGCCGCTGCGCTGGTCACGCTTCAGTTGCTGGTGCTCCTTCCATGAGGGAGCAACCGGTAGGACTCAGCTATACTCAGCTCTCGTATCACGTGTCTGAGCTTTCGTCCGGTCCTGGGACACAAGCTGAAGCAGAACATCCACCTGTCTCAAACAGATTTGGGGGGGCTTTCCTATCCTTCGTCTTTGCACCCGGGACGCGCGCAACCAGTCGAGTGGCGTCTGGACCTGGGTGAATGGGTGAATGGCAGCTCAGCAGAAGCATCCTCTCGCACACCTTGCTTTGGCTCTGGGCTTGCGTGGCGGACGTTTGCGTTGGTAGCACCTGGCTCCTGCTTTGAGGCAGAGCACTGACCTCGTCCATGGAGGCTTTTACAAACAGCCACGAGCCGCTCCTCGAAGCTTCGGCACGCGCTCCCGTCTTGGAAGCTCCGACGCTGAGGACTGGTGCCTCGGCCCGCAATGGACAGCTCTGATGTTGTTCAGATCGCTACTTCGACACGCTCGGGCAATTAAGAACTCCTTTGTTGGGGAGGGTAGTTCTGGACACGTGGATGCTCGGTAGTGAGCCTCTACTAGCCCTTCTATGCTAATCCGACCGATGTAGTTGCAGCAACGGCATACATCTACTTCGTACCAGCGGGTTCCGGGTTCCGCTCTTACGCTTTCCTTTGTCTACATCCCCCGCGAACCCACGGCTCGTCATCGCGTCGCGAAAAATGATGGAAGCACTCGACCTGATCCATGACCCTATTCTGCAAACGTCGAATGAGTCGGATGTAAATGCATCATGGCACTGGCTCGTCTGCTTTGCATACGACGTGTCCAACTGTTCAGTCGCAACAGCTGGCTCTACTGTAGGCTCCTTGCAGACTGCATTAACAAGGTCGTAAATGCCTTCGTGGAAAAAGTTTTGCCTGCAGCAGCGAGAAAAAGCGATAAGATCTGCGACTCAGCGTCTCTGCCTGGCCTTTCCTCTTCGAGCTCTTCGATGCGCCGTTGAGCCTGGACCCGGTTGCAAGCTGCATAGTGTCAGCAGCCGTTGCAAGATTGCATGACCCAAGAGCATGCTGCTGCATGCCTCTGCCAGCTGAGTCTTCAGTGAGGCATTCTGCTCCTAACAAATTCTGAACTCAAGTGGAGCACGACGAAACAAGCCATGCCGTCTCGTCGTGATCGGCAGGCTCCTGCAATGTCCTTGGGCTGCAGCAAAGCCTGCATGTCAAGATATCTGACATCGTCTAACAGTAGCAGCTTAGCACTTCGTCGCTTGTCACAGCGGTCTTCTGGCCTCAGGTCAGGCTCAGTGCTCAGGTGGCCTCGCGCAAGGCGGCAACTCAACAGCGTGCTGCGCAACTCCGCTGGGCGGCCGTTACGGCGATAACTATTTGGGCCTGACTCAACGCAGCCTGGCACAAGCTGCTCGTCAAGAGCAGGCACCTCCCAAATACTCTGCTTTTCGCCCTCTCTCTATCTCTTTGCTTGCTTGCTTGCTTGCCGCTCGCTCGCTCTCTCTCTCTCTCTCTCTCTCTCTCTCTCTCTTCTCTATTCTCCGGGGCATAGGGTGCGTGCGAGGCACCCCGCGCCGACAGGCGCACCCCTGTTTCGGGGCTTTGTAGGGGTAGAAGAAAGTATGGCTCTCTCTCTCTCTCTCTCTCTCTGCAGGGCATGGGGGACGGTCAAATCCCCCGGGCATCATGCCCACCCAACATGATTAGTTGGGCGCAAGGGAGTGAAGCACGAGCATAAATCACCTGGAAGGCTATTGCCATAAAGTTTACGATAACGAGGCAAGATGATTGTATGCTCTCCATGACACATGCATCAGTGCTAATGTTGAATCCCCCGACTTCAAAAGTTCTTACACGATAGCGAACTTGTATAAGGATCAAGAGGATTCGATTTACTAGCACTGTTTCCCCGAGAGTCGGTACGACTTTCGAAATTACGGGAGGATTTTGCCCCAGAAAAGGTCGTCGTCCGTGCTGAAATGTCGCAGGCGTTGCAAACTAACCGAAGCCCTGGCAATTCAAATTCTCACGACACACTTCGAAGGAGCTGTTAAAACATTCACTGGATGCGACTTTCTCAGACAACGGCCGTGCTTGACGTGTTTCCCCCGGAGCCTTTGAGTTCTGCAAGCAATGGCACAGCGATGCTACACACCTAAAGGAGTAACATGCGTACAGGGCATTGATTCAGCTCCAAGGGTTTTCGTATGAAGTTGTTCCCCCCATTAAGATGGGCTACTCGTTGTCCCGCAGCATGCTACACTGCAGTAAAAGTCACATGGAGCTCGCATGAACAGCAACATCGAACCCATACTTCTGGGAGGCAGTTGCCAGCGTATTCCTTGTGGGCCTTTTGTCTTGCAAAACAAGGACACAGCACTACTACACACCTAGAGGAGTAACATGTGTAAAGGCGTTGGTGGGGCCCTGAAGGTGTTGCTTCCCCGACTGTATGAGGATGAAGGTTTCTTATTGGTGAGACTGTCCCCCTGAGCCAGGTCTATCAAGCAAAACAACTGCACAGCGATGCTGACCACCTAGAGGAGTACCATGTGTAAAGTTCAGTTTGCGTTGGCTTGGAAGGGATGACTGTTACTCGGTAGTATGTCATGGGGTAGGTATTCCCCTCTCAGTATGCTGTTTCAGAGGAGGTCGTGGTACGAACTCAGTCGTCGTGAAGAGCTGCTTGCATGCGGCGGCGCCGGTGGCTGACCAAACTGTCCTCTTCACTGTCCACCGCTATGGTGGGGCTGCGCTGTACTCCCCCTGGAGCATTGCCCAGGCCATGGTGGCGATCATGGAGCCACCATTCCCCGTTGACAGAGGACTCTCTCTCTCTCTCTCCCTCTCTTCTTTAAGGATAGATGCGTACAATACAATTGTTCACGATGTGGGGCACTTGTCACAACGCTGGCCATGCTGTCCATAACAAAAAGAAAACGATCCACCTAATACAAGACAACATCATTCCCCTGCTGACGGCACCGTTGTGTTACGAGCAAGGCACGATACTGAGGCTCGATGTTTGGATTTCAGAGCCTCTGTTGTGATTTTGGTACAAGCGTCTGCTGGCTTTCGGGAGGACAAACTGCGACAGAAGAAGCTAGAAAGTGACAACAAAAACTGCCACCGTATTATTAGCTGTCTCTGCTTGCTTGCTTGCTCTCTGTAGCCGTCTTTCGCTGGCTCTCTTTCTTTCGCCAGGGCTAGGGGTAAGGGGAGCAAGCCCCCCTCACACGCGCGCGTTAGCGCCCCCGACTGGTACTTACTAACACTGCTCACCTTTGCCTTCCTGGAGTGCGCTGAGTTAAACACTCGCTCCCCACCAGTCGCGGGCGCTCGCTCTCTCTCTCTCTCTCTCTCTCTCTCTCTCTTTCTGTGAGGACCCGTTAAGTTTGAACTATGCGAGTCCAACCAGTTCCGGCCTGGCAATTCTGAGAAAGTCGTTGCAGGGCCGCTGCAGCCTCCTTGCGAAGCTTCGACACTTTTTCCACCTACACAGGAAGAGCTTCAGAGGCTCCCTTGAGCCCTTGTCCTGAAGGCTTTCTGCGACACCTTGAAAGTTACGCCGCAGTTTGCGGCTCGGCCTGGGACGGCAGCTTCTCAGATCTTCCCAGGAGGGCTTTTCAAACCGGGGCCCACGCGAGAGGATACACGGTAGGCTTTTCGTCATGTCAGCAGGCATGTCACCGGCTGCCATGTTGAACAGCTGAACCTTCTTGGCCTTCAACGCTCCACAGGTGGTACAGTAGTAGTAGTAGTAGTAGTAGTAGTAGTAGTGCAGCGGTGGTTGAAGACAGCAAGAGAGCGCCGAGGCATTGTTCCCAGGTTCTTCTTGCCGAGACTTCAGCACGGCTCGCGCCTCTGGGCGTTCGGCTGCAGGCCTGAGTTCAAGACAAACTCGCGAGTGAGGAGCAATTCGTTGTCTGCCGGTTGATCCCACGCAGCTCCTAATCCCTGTTCCCTGAGCATACAGAGTTCGATGGCCCAGGTCTTGCTACCACTCCTTTTTTTTGCATTGCCACTCGCGCCATCAGAACAGCAGCGTCACTGCCAACTTCCTAGATGATGCCAATGCGGTTGGCGACGTCCAGGGCATCGTAGTCCTGTGTGAGGCGCACGTATGCCTTCTTCTTCCTGGCACACTGAGACAATGGTCCGTGATCGTGCCACTCACTTCACATGGTCAGGTGAATATATAGTTAACAGCTTATTAATT